CAATTCCATAAATCTGAAAATGTATGAATTGTCAAGGAATTATTATACCAATAAAAAAAGACAAATAATGTAGGTACTTATTAGCATAGGATTATAGCAGAGGGGATTAAAAAAACAAAACTTTCTAGCATTGTCTTCTAAGTCTAATTGGTAGTTGCTATTGTACACGCCTAACTTGGTAGTTGCTATTGTACACGCCTAACTTGGTAGTTGCTATTGTACACGCCTAACTTGGTAGTTGCTATTGTACCGCCCTAACTTGGTAGTTGCTATTGTACACGCCTAACTTGGTAGTTGCTATTGTACACGCCTAACTTGGTAGTTGCTATTGTACACGCCTAACTTGGTAGTTGCTATTGTACACGCCTAACTTGGTAGTTGCTATTGTACACGCCTAACTTGGTAGTTGCTATTGTACACGCCTAACTTATGATGAGGCAAAATGGAAATGCTATAAATGATGAATTTTGTTAAACATCTGTTAATTTTGGCTTTTTGAAGTCAGAATGAAAAAAAAACTGTAAGGAAAATGTGTTAGGAATTTGTATGATATGAGGGGCAATAAATTAAATTACCTTTTCTGCTCATAGTATCTGATAAGGTAATTTATGGCCTCTCTTATCCTTGAAGATCCCAATGTATTTTCTTTACACACGGTTTTATTTTTCATTCTTACCTGAAGAAGCCAAAATCACCAGTCATTATTCTATAAGTCTAATTTGCTAGTTACTATATGTTCCACTTTTTTAACCATGTATAATAATTTTCTCTTACTTAAACTACAAAACAACTATTTTGGAGGCCAATTTAAAAAATTACCAGGTGTTCCCTCATACTTTTGAACCGTAGTGTAAATTTCACAAAAAGTAAAAAAGCACATCAAATATATTTATCATATTCATAGAAAAAAATTATTTACTTGACTGCTTAATATATTCACATAAAATTTAATATACCAGTTTGTGTTAAGCAACAGTGAGATCGACCATTACTTAGATGAGTCGAAACTTTGGAATATAAGTTTTTTGCTATAAACATTTTGCTTACTTAATGCAGTCAAATCACATTTAATATGCCATTTCCTGTCATACAAGATAGTAATTCACCTCCTAACAAAGGCAAATCAGATGTAAGGTCAGTTTAATATTGGACTCTATACACAGTTGTGTGTGCATCATCTTTAAAACTATCTAATCTTCATGGCCACTGCCAAAAATGGTCGGGCTTTCTTACTTTCTTACAGCTTGGTTATTGCAATGAGGAGGTACTGCAACATAGTTGGAATCTCCATAGACCAAGAATGTTTTAGTTTCTTTTCACCTTATTCTATCTAAAGATGAAATAAAGTTAGTGACAAACCAACTGGAATGAAAACAACCAACCAACAAAGAGTTTAGTGAATTTCGAGTCCATGAACCAAAACTAGGAATGGTATTTATTTTCTCTCTCAATGAAAACAAATGTGACATAAAGTTGGTTTTGCTTCAAACCCTACACATTTGAATAGTTAATAAAATAGCCAAGTCTCACCAGCTTTTATTGCAAGCATCAGGGTATATACTTGAGTATCCAATTATTGCAATGAAGAGGTGCTGATTGGAATATGGATTCTTAAGAACCACTCTATCTCTTTAAGTTAGGATCTTAAGTTAAGACTTTTATACCTGTATATGTTAGCATGCTCGTACAAATAATCTTTGTCATTTGAATATAATGTGTAACCAAACTGTACATGGGAAGGGAAATTGAAAAAAACATCTTAGTATATAAAGAAATAATGTTAACGTTTCTAACAGCTTTTTGTCTGAGAAATATTAAATAGGACATGAGAAAAAGTTGGGTTTAAAATAACATAAGTTGGTACTCAAGTGTAAAATAAATTACAACTGAATGCTTTTCATGTTAAGCCACATCTTGATTTCTTTTGTGTAAAGCAATTTAAAAACATTTAACATTTTAGTTCCGAAAACAGGCAAAACAATTTCCAGAGAGTTGTTAGAGCAAAATCTCATTATCTTGATCCACCAAAAATTACATTGTTTTTTTTTGTGACTATAGTGTTGAATATTACTCAGTATCAATTATAAAACTATTTTAAAATGCCTGGTACTGTCAATCTGTGAATAAAAAAAATTAAAACATGCAAAAGCAGTTAACCTGTCTTGAAATATTACAAGCTATTCTTGTTTTTTTTTTTTTTTTTTTTTGGTGAAGACAGATTAGAACACCACACAAACTTTTTCAATACTTTGGACTAATTGTGGCATTAATAGCCATGGTCAAATGAAAAAATAAATAACAGAACTGTCCAACAAACAAAATTAACAAAGCTTACAATAAAAAGAAAAGGGAACAGGGCAAAAATGAAATATTATCAAGCAAGCAAGCAAAAAATATATGCAAAGCAAATTAACAGGTAAGAAGGCAAAAATTCACAAACTACAAATTGGTGTCTACACACAAAAGCAAGGCCAGACAATCAAACGCAGTGGTCTGTCTTCTAGACACAGCAGATCTAAACTGAGTCATGTTAAACTGTAAATCAGCATATTTTATTGGCTAAGAAAAATATCCCAGCATGTTTTTGTAGACTTCTGCCTATAAAAAGGGAGGGGGAAGTTTTGCAATCATTCCCAACAGATTGAAATCAACACTTTTGCATATGTTTTTTTTCTTCTCAAATATGATTGTTAAACTTAAGTTAAATTAGCATAGGTAGATGAGTTTATTCTTATTCTGTCAGTAATGCTGATGTCATAATCAGAGCTTTTTCAACTTGCAAACCACTGTAATTTCTCATCTTTCGTATGGCTGCTCAGGCCTGACCTACAGTGCTAACCTGCGGTTTATGCTCCAATTGTTGAACAGACTTCACTTACAGTTCAAGTATATGTCCCACTAGGGCCATATACAGTTTTGAATTCAGTTGTCCTTCGATAAATTTTCACTGTATAATGCTTGAGCTGTATGATTGGTATAGAGGCACTAGGTTAAGTCCATTGACAAGAAGGAGATAATATTGAAAAATATTTGTTGTGTAAAAGAAATGCTTTTTCATCATTAGATTGTGAATTTATTGATGTACCTTTGTATTGGTTAGTTTTTATATGTCAACCCTTGTTGTGTTATTTAATGTTGAATTATTATATGGGTCACCCAGTGAGGATCGAAATCACTACTCAGTAGTAATGGTCAAGCTGACTAGTTTGACTAACCATTACTTTATTCTATATATGTTATTGCATGTTGAAAATCTTTGTATATTAAAAAAACTTATTTACATATTGTTTTATGGATTATGCAAAAGCATTTCATAAAGTATGACACAAAGAACTGTTTGAACTGCTAGGTAAGCTTGATTTATTTGGAAAGGCTATTAGAATAATCCAGGACTTACACTAGGAGTAAACAGGCCTGCAGACAAATAGAAAATGAATTCAGTAAATACACAAAGAGGCATGAGACAAGAATCTTTCTTCTCACTGGACTTATTCAACCTTTAAAGCAAGGTTTTCCTGAGAGAATTAAGTCTTATCATAATTATTGTTGGATGCCACAATCTTAACAACATAAGATATGCAGATGACACAGTGTTGATAGGTGACATAGAAAGGAAACTACAGGAACTTGTACAGAAGTACCAAAGGAAAGCAAGAAGAAAGGACTAAGCAACAATTGTAAAGAGACAGAATGTATTGTTGTCAGCAAAAGGAACAGCCCAAGATGCAAACTACAAATTGGAGGTACCAATTTCTTTGTTTAAATTTTTGTACTTGCTTGATTTTGGTGTCTCCAAGTCATAGTTCACATCTTGAGCAAACTCAGTATAATCCTGTATTTCTTTGTTTTTTTTTTTTTTGTTTTTTTTTTAATAATTTTGTCAGTGAATAGTACACATTTTTTTTTCTCTGTGTATGCCATTTGTTGTGATATTTTAAATTATGATGGTGTGTGTTTGTATCTAATAAATATTCCATAAATCATAAAGTTTTCAGCTAAATTTCATTTATCACATTCATTGCCAAAGAAAATTAATATTTTTACTATTTTATTTCTTAATGAATGAAGGTTAATTAACATCTCCCTTTTGAAATTTATACCTTGTCACTAACTTGTTCTCTGCACATTTTGGATGGCCCTCTTCAGTGAAAAAAATATTGACTTTGAAAGTATTAACAGATCATTCATATATGATAAACATTTTTCTTTTTAAATTTTCATCTTTCTACACTAATATGTCCTTTCTATATAATAAATGCCAATGTCAATGTGTCACACTTTTTCAATTAAAGGGACACAACTCTCAATAGCTCATCTTCTATATAATAAATACCAATGTTAATGTGTCACTGTTACTTTTTTCAATTAACGGGACACAACTCTCTAACTTTCAATAGCTCATGTTACAGAGATTTTAGATTCCCAAGTTTTCATTACTGCGATGGTTTCTGGGGTTTTTTTTTTTTTTTCTTTTTTGCAACAAATTTTTTTGCATGATAACAATTTTTATAACTTGAAAATAATTGAAATTTAATTGCAAAATCTTGCAAAAGTAACCCATGAAATAAAAATAATTGTTTTTACAGAAAATAAGGTCCTACACACATCATATTGTCTTTAAATTAAATGGTGGCAGAAGAATTATCATTGCACTTTTAAAAGTTAAGCTTAAATATTAATGCAATACTTAAATGCAGCAATCAATTTTGAGTTCTTCTATAGTTTATTATCTCTACCAACAGAAGACCAGATTGCAATCAAATGAGCCAAGGCTGCAGTGAGGAAAAGAAAGTCCTGTGAAAATGAGAACCCAGATCAAACACCAGTCAGAAGAGCTTCCAATGTTGATAATATACAAAGACTTATAGACTCTCAAACTCCTGAACAAGTCAAAGGCTCAATTAAGAGCCCTCCGCAGGAGCTAGCTTAAATGCTGTCTGATAGGGCAACTTTTAAGCTAGTTAAGAAATATGGCAGTTACGAAAATTTTATTTAGAACAGGTCATATCATGTTGAAACACTGTTTCACATATGATCACTGAAGTTAAGCAACATCAAGCATGGTCAGTACCTAGATGGGTGACCACTTGGGAATAGCAGGTGCTGTAAGCTTGGATATACAGGTGGCATAATTCATTCATATTTATATATTCTTAATAATATTTATTATATTCACTTACATGCATATAGCCCTTGGAAACCAACTTCTCTCCTCAGCTATAGGTTAATTAATAGGACTTGTATCAGTAAATCATCTTTATATATAAAAAAAATTGTTTTACAATTTGGTTTAATTAATCTGCAAAAAGTTGATAAATGATTAAAAAAAAAAAAAAAAAAACACAATCAAAGGACAGATCAATTTTTAAAATATTTAGTTGTAAGTGACCAAAATAGAAACCAATTTGTATTTTTTAAAACAAATCAGTTTCTGATAAAGTAAAAAAATTAATTGACTAACAAAATAAAAACAAACATCTTGGTAAATTTATATAATAAGAAAAAAATAAATTAATATTATCTCCCCTTATTTTCATTATTTATTTTGTATCAATTATTTTGATTATTAATATTTATTAATGATGACCCGTGTGGCATCCATTGGTCTCGAGAAACCTTGGAAGTGCAACCAATGGCAGTGCAGCATCTGCTATGGCTGTACAGACCCACACGAGAGTGATAGTCTCAATTGCAATGAATGCATGTGAAGGCACTCTCTCTCTCTCTCTCTCTCTCTCTCAATGTTGCCTTGTTTTGTTTTCGTTTCCCAGTGGCATACCTTCATTTCTCCTCGCCTCCCTCCAGCCCTTGGGATAAATTGCATCTTCAGTGTGAATGATCATTGGCAATGTCTTATCAACTCTCATTGTTCATCGCCTTCATGTCCCTTTTGCAGACATCTTTGAAGCAAAGATGAGATCACCCTCTTGCCAGTGGCCAGTTCCCCATACAGAAGGACCTCCAGAATCCTCCCATCTGGCATATGGTGTACAAAATACTATTTCAGAAATGGTGGTTCTATTCAAAGGGTTTGTGTTTTTATACAAACTGTAATATTTTATTCTAACTATGAATAAAGGTTAGCAAGTTATTCTGGATGGTTATTACAACTGAGTAGAGAGTTTGATCCTCACTGGGTATACCATACTTAGCTTAACTTATTTTGGCAGATGATCCTAAATAAATAACTATGGCTATTACAGTGAAGAGTGTTAATTTTGTTTACTCCCTTCACTTTAGATGTTTTATACATTAAATGTGGTAAAAACTATTAAATTGATGGATAGAACCAGTGAAATGAACCTCACGGAAAACTAAAACTATATCACATGTTGGTATCATTTACATAGGCTTCTTTAGATCAGATCATGCTGTCAGAACTAACAGAATTTATAACATTTGGTTTAGTCTCATAATAACCTATTTTTATTACTTCAAATATTATTTTTAGTGGATACCCATATTTATTTTAAACAGTATTTATTTCATCTGTTAGTCAGCATGTTTTGAAAAAATTTAATAAAGGAAATGTGTCCTCTGTGGCAGGATTTGAACCTGTATCTCCTTTTGCAGGAGGAACCACTGTCTGATTTGGTGTGCTTTTACCACTTGCCTACAAAGATGCTTACAGTAAAGTAAGGTTCTCTTTTGCCTTTAAAGGATACCTACTTATTCAAAATTTTACTTATGGCCACATCGTGTAATTCATTCTCTGTCTGTGTTTAAGCTGTTTGTTCTCAGTTAAGCTTATTGATTACTTATATGTGTTTACTGTCTAGACAGCTTTTCTATTTTAAGATTTCTTTGTGTTGTATTTTATCAAATGCCTTTGTACTATGAAACATAGTTACAGTTCTTGTACAATCACTCAAGTTAAACAATGTTAAGCCTGGTTAGTATCTGCATGGGTGACCGATTGGGAATACCAGGTACTGTAAGCTTGGATGTGTGGGTGGTGTAATGGATAATGGCTCATAATTTTTAATTGAAGAGTTGAATTCCAATTCCTGTTGGGTTTGCTATATTCAATAATGTGCAAATACTCTTGAGAAAGGGTATGAATCCACCTCTTCTCCCCCAGCTATATGCTAATTAGTAAGACTTGTATCACTTAACTATTATCATCTAAAATAAACAAAAATTCTTATAATCTAAAATTATTTTCTGCCTTTAAACAACATACAAAAGGTTAGGCTGTAAAAAAATTCAATCAATCAAAAAAATAATTCAGATTTTTTACTTGAAACACATATGTGCTCAGTCTTATATCTGATATATAAACAAAGCAATTTCTAAAGAATCAATGGATTTTATTTTTTAATCTGACATTTTTATTCAACGTTATTTTTAGTGGATGCCTGTTGAGTAGATACTCTGTTTAAAATAAACAGTATTTATTAAGTTTTCTTGAGTAAATCTGGTGGACAAAATAAATACTGTTTAAAATAAATGGAGCCTCTACTCAAATATGAGTACCCACTAAAAATTACATTTGAAGGAATAAAAATGTTAGATTAAAAAATAAAATCCAACAATTCTTTACAATAATTGATGTATGTAGATATATCAATAAGACTACCACATATACACATGTGCGCACACACACACACACTGGTCTACATAGCTAGATGGGGATATATAAACATTTATATGGCTATATTAGGGTGTACTTGGTATTTGAAAAGATGCTTTTAGCAAGCAATAAACAGATGAGCTAAAATAATAGGATACAGCATGTACCATTTCTCTTTTAGATGTATTTGAAAGAATTAAGATATGTTTCCATCTGACATAGAGATTGGAAAGACATACCATGCTGATGATACTAGCTACCAACCACAGCCACTCAGAGACAGCTACTTTCTGAAAACTGGCCAGGTTCTTAGTGTTAAAGGTCAATGATGAGCTGGACGTTTCTGGTAGGGATAGTGTCAGCCATGACAGAGAAAGCAGTCACAATGAATGGATGTCTCCTCTGTGAGTCTCTCCATGCCTTGAGAAATTGTTGGGACACCTAACCTCAAGTGGAACTTGTACAGATGGTCCATCACAAAAGATGCAGGAAAAATTGTCAGTTCCCTGTACCTCTCCAGTAAGTACCTGACTCCTCATGCTATCCTCTACCTTTACAAGAGCCAGATCAGGCCCAAAATGGAGTATTGCTGTCATATTTGGTTGAGAGCTGCTCAATCCTCACTTTCCAGCCTTGATAGAGCCCAAAAGTGTCAAAATTTGTCACTCACAAGGATTCATCCTTGTGAGTGACAAATTATTTTCTACCCTCCAACCTCTCTCTCACAGGCAGGATATGGCAAGCCTCTCACTGCTCTATCAATACTTTCATGGAATGTCGAACTACATTCCTTAGTTCTGCCAGTCCTAACCTACATGATTAGGACCCACCATGCCACTCACATTGTAGTCAACCACCCACATTCCCTCCATATAAACCATTGGTGAGTAATAAGTTCCACCTAAACAGCTTCTTCCCCACGAATCACTGCTCTGTGGAACTGACTCCTAAGAGGATGTTTCCCTGATCACTACAATCTTAACCTGTTCAAGTCTAGGGTTAACTGTTATCTTCCTCTCCTATCTGCATAAACTGCCTCTTAATGTAACCCTTATCTTGAGTGGCTCCCAGACCTTGTATAGAGTGAACCTTACTGTAAACAAAAGCAAAAGCAAGTTGATAAGGATTGATGTTACTGCTTGCATCAAGTTAATAGATGCAGTTGTCATGTAAATATTCGGACAAGATTCTACTCTTCACTACGTGGACCATATGAACCAGGAAAGTCTACAACCTTATCATGTTGAAACACCAGTTTCCCTACACTCAGAATTGTTAATCAGTGAATTAGTCAGATTTGTATCACTAAATCCTTATCTCAAAAAATATTCTTACAATCTAAAAATATATATATATATATATATATATATATATATTCTGGCTTTAAAAAACGTGCAAAAGGGTTGATAAGCTATAGAAAATGAATCAATCAATGAATCATGGCACAGTAGTAGCTTGCTGAAAATTTTTATGATCATGTCATCAGCAATATGTAACCTCATGACTTTCCTTTGAATCCCTTGGGGCATCATTGAGATGGATACCAATCAGTGGTCCAACAATACCAAAGATTAATTGAAGGATGCCATCAAGGATGTGATGATGAACAAGGCTACAAGTTGAGGGTGATTTTTATTAAATGACCTTTTTTCGGTTTTTCTAAATTAAGCTTGTATACAGTTGAAAAATAAGCTTATATTTTAAACATCTTTATAGTAGTGGCTGGTCCCTTGTTTTATTCTGATTATGCCTGTCAGCTAAGGTGGCTATTGCAGACGCCTGCTCAGGCATATTTTTGTTCAACACCCATGGACCTCACCTGTGGTTTATACTGTAACTAATTAATCTAATCTTTTCTAGGAGAGAGCAGGTTATCTGGTGTGATCAACAGTCTGAACAAGACCAGTGTGCTCAAACTCTCGGTCACAATGACTTGCAACATAATGCTAGCTCAACCACCAAAGGCTCTCAAATAGTTCTGTCTATCCAGTTTAACTCACAAGGCTTGAATCAACCCATGGTATGGTTTTCAGGCACTTTCCAAAGATGCTGTACACTGAGAGTGCTTCTATAGGCCAATAACATCAAGAAGTCACCTACCTGACAAATCAACCACGGTGAGATTCACACCATGGTCTCATGTTCGGAAAGTAAATATTCTAACCATTCGCCCACATGTCTATATATCTTTATATTTCTGTTTGTTTTCAATTACCTGCTGCCTTCTGTATATGTACAAATAAAGACTGCAGCCTAATGATAAGAAAAAAAAGACAATATTTTCAACATAATCTTCTTTGTCAATGCACTTGGTGTGTTATTTCTTTTGAACCTGTAGATTCCCCATAGAGCAAAAGGTTGCAATAACATTGCAAGATGCTGCTGCAGTTTTTGTAACAAGTGGGTTTTCTGAGATGGAGTTGCTAACTTCATGCCCACCTGGTTGTGAATTTAGAGTTGTCTTTCTAATAGGCTGATTGCCACTCAAGGCTAGAGAGTGACAAATCAAGATTGGTTGAGTGTGAGTCTGAAAAGAT